GATGGGGGGTGGGGTGGGAATAGGACAAATCCAGCCCCCCTGTTGCCCCTTCTGCCTTGATGACTTGGTAAGTATGGTGTTTTAAAACAGTCCGCAAAATAATTTGCACTACAGAGTCCTTATTAGGTCTTTTTAATTGGACAGTTGCCCATATGAACGGAAATCAAAAGCAGCATACAATCATTGAATCTCCCAGCACTGGAGTATATCCAACTGTTTTCCTGTTTTGTTTGGGTTCCATTTCAGTCCTTGTCTGTATGCACACATAAATTTTTACAGAGTTGCAACCACTGCCTTTTTTGTGGTCCTGGTTATTGGCATCTAGTTTTCCAAGTAACATTGACACACATCTGTTCAAATCAATTGCCGTTCCCATCATGACTGACTCATTTGGCGGGAAAAACAAGTTTACATGCCAATTGGAACAAAGAAGCATGGGTTTGGGGAAGCAGCAGGGAGAAAGAAGTGGTGGGAGAGGGTTATTTCGACTTACAGATCATAAAACATTTTCCAATAACATTTTTAAAGGATGTATAATATTACACTGAGTGATTGATTATATTTTACCCCATGCTGTGGGACTCTTGGGTGGTTTTCAATACCTAGTCAGTTAAAATGCATATAAATTACAGACTTTGAGAGATGATTGTATTTTCTTGAAACAGGAGTCTTCTGTGTCCAGATCCGGTTCAAGAGTGTTGATATAGTGTTCCTTTGTTGGAAAAAAGAAAGTCAGTACTACTAACTGGAGATGCTGGGTGCCTTAAAAAATATTCCTGTGATTAAATTTAAAAAAAAATTATGTTCAATTCTAGCTTACAAAAGCAACCTGTGTATCTTGTCCCATAACTTATAGAAATGTGAAGTTTTAAATGTAGAGCTAGGCTAAGCTTTTCCTAGTTTAAGGCCCACGCCTGTGTAATAAAGTTAACACAATACCCTATGCACTTCGCTTCCTCACTAAGAAATAACATGTGCTGGGGGAAAACGAGGAAACAATGGAAAGGTGCCTCCTCTCAGGTGGTAACGCTCGATCAATTAATCAGCTGACTATGTAAATTAACTCCCTTCTCACGAGTCTCTCACACATTACGATGCACATTTAGCAATGTTGAAAAACAATTTTAAAGAATACCTTAGAGGGCTGTTAAAGAGAATTTATAGTCTGGAACGAATTGCCGTCTTCGTAATTGACACAGAAATGTTTGGCTGAAATATTGCTTTATTCACATTTTTGTCCTTGGAGGAAAATCTAGGCACAGAGCAACTTCGATCGTGTGAATAATGGTGCAAGCTGACTATTTTAAGTCAGGAAAGGGCGCCGCGGAGTCGAAGGGCTGTTTGGACGCTCTCAAGCTCCATGCCTTTAGGGGGCCCTGGGCAAAAGGCCGCTGCGCTCCTGGAAGGCAACGCCCTCTAGTCCGGATCACTGATCCTCGCCTTCTGCCCCTTGCAGTCCCCAACCCGCCTGGTGTCTCACCTGGGTCCTGCGGGCGCCCACTGGAGGGAGCGGGATGGCGCGGGCCTGGTCTTGCCGGAGGGCTGGGTGCCACCGAGCCTCCTTCTGGCTGGAGAGGGACCGGTACAGAGCAGGGAGAAAGGGAGAAGGGAAGCTGGTGAGAGGCAGAGGCGGGAAGGCGGCCTCGAGGTGCTTCCCCACCCCCCAGTGCAGACC